GGCAACAATGCAACAATCTTATAATAAATGCTTTAGACAAAACTAATCGGCTGGATTTTCTGCATAGCTCAGAACCGACAGGCTAGATACTGAACCTTGCAGAGAGTTGAAGATGGTGAACAGGTAGGTGAAGGTCAGGTAGACGGGCCCCCAGGCGAACAGAGCAAAGCCCCACGTCATCCCAAGCAGGAAGGTGAGGCTGACGACGCTCCGCAGATTTCGAAGGACCTGGATCAGAATGGAGAGTTAATTTCATTTAAACCCTCATATTTAAAATATTACAGATCAAATACTCCTCAGCGAACAATGAACTCAAATATCTCCTTGTTATAGCTAAATGGATTGTGTCTATTGTTCCCTTATGAATAAAGTTTGGTTTTCAGAAATGTACAGTTTGAGCGCAGACCTCCTCTCGCAGGGTGCGGTTGCTGCGTTTGCCGTTGCGGCCGCAGATCTGCATCATCACCACAATGAACATGGCCACGTTGAGCAGGAACATCAGGCAGAAGTAACCCACACAGGTGGTGTAGAAGACGCTCTTGTTCTTGATCCAACAGCTGAGCGGAAACATGAACAACAGAAAGAACATCTGCTGAGAAACTGGCTGCTGCTGTCATTTCCTACCTTAGTCATTGGTTGCCATAGCGATCTCCGCCTTTAATAAAGGGCCACAGGATACCCATAACACAAAGTAACGAGATTGAAAAAGCAGGTTCTGTGCAAAAACTGGTGACTGGATAAAAACATTCTTCTGCTCTGCAAAAACTAACATATAAGTAAGTTGATTTTTCTTCAAATAAGTATATTTTCCCTTTAATTGAGATGAAATGGAAGCAATTTGACAACAGATAAGATGATTTACATAAAAGAAAAAAGACTAGTATTTAATTGTCTTATTTTAATGGTAGAAATATTTATTCCATTGAAAGATTTTCTTATTTACCTGCTCAAGTTAGACACTTAATTAACATTGACTTATTTTGAGACATGTCATACTTGTCTTTAGAAACACAATCAGTTTGCTGGCAGCACATGTAAACCAGGAAGTGTCCATAGTGTCTTATGGAGCAGAAATGACAGCTTAAAGAAGTTTCAGCATGTGACCCGTTTCAGTAATTCAGTGGGACTTTCACCTTTCTGACTGTGCTTTTTTAGATATTGATGGTATATTTAGTATTTGCGTCATGTATTTGTGGAAGAGGAATTAGGACCACTGAAAAAAAAAAAACAGATTTTTTTCTCTCATTTGAATTTTAAATATGGTAAAAAAAGTAGCCACGCTAACGCTAGTTTCATTGGCTGAAGCCGCCATGTTCTTTAGACTGAACTGTCGCGCTTCTTGTTGCGTCACACCTCAACCCGCCTCAAAGCCAACGCTGATTGGACGTTCGTTTGGTGAACGGCTCCAAATTTTCTTCCCCAGAGTCTCCAGACTGATTAGCAAGTGAAATCTTGAAAGCTTGCGAGATCAGGATGGTCTCACGAGGCTAGTGATGATGGGGTTTGAACTTCTCTGTACGTCCATTTCACCCACTGAACTATTGTTAGTCATTGCTATGACAATGGAAACTCAGTTGTGCATACTATGACCCCTTTAAAAGTCGGAGATCATACTCAAAATTCTGAGATTAAAGTGAGAATTTTGTGAAAAATTTCAGAATTCTGAGGGAAAAAAAACGTTTTTCCCATTTTAAATGGTAAATGTTAATTTAATTGTAAATATTAAATCCCCATCAATATTAATGTAAATATTAAACTAAAGTGAAAGAAAAAAATCTGTCAACCTTTTTCCCCATATTTTTTCTGTATGCATTAGATAAATTATTACATCAATAAATGCTACATCTACCTTTTTCATAGTTTATCTATTTGCTTTATTTATTTACATTTATGTATGTCATTATATGTTTAGCCGTACATATTCCTTAGAGATCCCATCATAATGATTGGGAAAACCAACCCTGGGAGGTCATGACCCCAACTTTGGATTCCGCCGGCTTAATGAGATTACAAAAAAAATCAGGGCTGACGAGTAATGCAAGTCAGATACAATTTGTCTCCAAGCATTCATTCCTTACGAGAACCTAATCACTGAACTCATAGAATGTTCCCGTCCCCTGCCGCTTATGTCACAATCACAAAACAAGAGCTAACAAGAACAGAAACCCAAAGGAGACATTTTAAGGAGGAGAAAAGCAAAGTGCTCAACTGTTCCGACTTTATGTAGGCTTCCTGCTGTGAAGTATAGCAGAGATATGAGACTCTAAACAGGAAAAGGTTTTCCCACTTATCTCATTTTAATCCACTGATGAGGAAATGTACCTTTGATTGAGAAACATATTCTAATGAAAACCTTTGCTAGAAATAAGAGCCTGTAAAGCCCTCAGGAAATGTGTCTCAGTATTTGCATTTTTTTACTACTTCAATAGTATTTAGTTTAACATAATGATGTTTTCATTTAGAAACTGTCTATTATTTTATCTTCACCTCTTCAACCATTCATCTACAAAATCCTCCGGATTTTTTCCACATAACACTGAGGTTGGCCCACTTACATTATTGCGGTTTCATCTTCACGGTCCATCAAGATGCCGTAATGGTTTTTATTCACCGTGACGACGATTCCCACCAGGACTGCAGGTAAACCTGGAGGAAAGAGAAGCTCAAAAGTTTAGCTCCACTGTCTTCCTTTTAAGGTTCTTTGGATGCTTCTCTGACACCAAACATATTAGTTGAATCGTCGCCATCTTAAAAAGTGTTTTTCTTTCTCATGTTGAATTTTTGTGAGACGGGGCTTTTTTTGGATCAGATCAGAGGGAGTTCTCCTCACATGGTGAACAAATCCTTTGTTCCCCTATGTTTTGGTAAATGCAAATAAGTCAGAACCCTGAAGCTCTCAGTCGATAGTTTGGGCTACTCCATCCGCACAATGTGAGGACACATTCGTCTGTTCCTAGATTTCAGCTGCCATGCGTCCCAGAAAAGCCTTTCCCAGTGTCTAATGTTTCCCTTCCATCTTCCGAGGCTTAGGACATTCCTGCATTGATGAGACCGGGTCGGAAAAAGCTCCAGGTGTCTTCCGTCCCAATCTTCCTGCAATACATCGTCAGCTGTCCAACACTATATGGGTTTAGGTTTCATCAGTGCAGGCCGTAGTCCAGCAGCCGCTTCCTCTTTTTGCTCAGCTGTGCCTTTGGACTCATGTCAAGATTTCAGATCTTCAAATTGTCATTTGAATTTTTGGTCCATTCTTAAAATGCAGACAACCTTTTAAGACTAGCACTTAAACTTTTCTTTCAGAAAGCTTTTAATTGGAGTGGCTCAGGTTATCTAACCTGGCCAAATAAACCAATCAGATCAACGAAGCATATGACGTACTAACAGTGCGACGACGAAGAGGAGCCAATTGATAGATCAAACTCTTGCCGAAACCAGTCAGGTTTCGGCAAGAGTTAAAAGGGGTTAAAAGCTTTTGATTTAGCTTTTAACCCCCTTTATTTTTAAATAAAATCCATTAACAATCCAAATACACATCCTCGAAGTTATGATTAAATATTTCCCCTTTGCTTATATTTACGTCATGTCCGCTGTTACTAAAGTACCATCTGGGAAGTCATTTTAAACCGCCTCAATGAATCTCATTCTTTAGAGGCCTAACCTCCTTATCCATGTGTAACTTCATGCATCAGGCATTAACTTTTGATCTGTTTTTTGTTGCTGATATAATAAACCATTAATATGTCCAACGTATCACTTTAAAACCTCTTCTTGGTGGAAACACAGCAGTTGTTTCTCTTTAAGTAGATAATTGTGAATTACAACAAGAAAATGAGAATCAGACCATGTGAGTCCCTGTTTCCAGGTTTTAAAGTTGACTCCAGCTGCAGCGTGGATTCGCTGCTTGATAACGAGGAGCCAATTGATAAATCAAACTCTTGCCAAAACCAGTGGGGAGAA